TTCACCACAAAAGAAAGACAAAGCCCACAAACATCAGAAAAAAAAAAAAGCAGCAGAAATTAGATAATTTTTTTTTAAAGAATTAATTCAGGTAATTTAAAATATTTACATAAAATGTAGTAGTTTATATGTTTGAAAATTTATGGTTATTAATTTTGCAAAAAAAGTAATTCATTGAACTTTTATAATTAGGTGATTCAATACTTCATAATTGTAATTTTTCATTTCTTTTCCCCCCCCCCTTCTCGAAACTCCAAAATGTCGGTAGTAAGTCCGTAAAAGTTTCAGGGGATTTTTTGGGGTCCGACAAACACCCCTGTAAGACACCACACATGCTCAATTTACTCTTTGCAAACCACGAGTGCTTTTGAACAGACCTTGTAATTCGATGCTTGCTGTGACCTCCAGTAACTCTACACATCCACTCAAAACCATCTATGCAGTTCTTTCACTCTACTAGTTTCATAAATTGGGAATTTATGTGATGTTGCAATCAAACGTTTCTCCATACCTCTCAATCATGCTTTTTTTTACCTCTTCGCTCCAACTGATAAAAAAAAGTCCAGATTCAGATAATTATCCATTTTGCAGTAAGCACCAAATCAGACACACTCATCAAAAACATTCTTTTCTGTATTTTGAGAAGTTATGGTCATAATTTTTAAATTATGCATTCAATATTTTCAATCGTTTGATAATGTTCGTTTTCAATCATTTGGTATCTTAATACATTTGTGAGCGATAACTCATTGCTTTAAATGCTAACATTACCACACGACACACAAAAGTAGATTTATAATTAAAAAAATCTCCCGCAGACTTAAACTTAACATTTCAATTCAGTTAAAATATAATTTAAGTTTTCTTCAAATAAAAAGCTATGGCATATTTATAGCATGTTTTTAAGAAGAGGCTTAACCAATATTACGTCATAAAAAGGTGTGCCTCAGCATAAGACAAGTAAACACCGCATCGACCGATGCAGCCTATTCTGCGATTTAGCCTTTTTTTTTTTTTTTTCTAATAAAAGGTGCTACTTTGGTAGACGGTTGCACGGATTTTGGCGAGTTTTTGGAATTTTTCTTTTGGCGAGTAATACGACTTGTGGTAAACCCATTGTTGGATAAGTTATTTATGGTAACCGATACTTTGTTGACATTTTATTTAAAAAATAATACATGTTATTATGCATAAATTCCGTGTTTTAAATATTATTTATGGCTTCTAAATATTAAATATCAATTTAATTTTGCATTTTTATTTGAAATAAAAATTTTATTCTTTATCATATTTTATGAAATTTTATGCTGTGGATGATGTAATCAATGACGTCACCTTACTTTAAAAGTAATTTGTTTTAATATCTATAAATTTAATCTAATGTTTTAAACATTATTTATGGCTGTTAAATATTAAAATACAATTTAATTTTGCATTTCTTTTTTAAAATGATTTTATTATGTATGATTATTTAAATAATTTTAATTCTAGGCGTGATGTAATCAGCTCTCTGATTGGTTATAGAATATTTGTGCATTAATGAGCTGTAATCAGCTCCCTGATAGGTTGCTGAAAATTTGTGCATTACCGCGCCATTTTAAAATTTAATTCATATCTTCGAATTCCTTCAAAAATGTCTCCTTCAAAGATGAATGTTGTTTTTGATAAGTACCGAGAATTTTTGGTTTCGGAATCAAAAAATTGTCCTTTGAGACCTTATTTTCGCCAGCCTGGCTTTCCTAATCAAAGATTTATTTATAAATTCTTACAAGGGTCAGAGGAAATTTATTTTAAATTTTATGGAGGAAATGTCGCTAATTGTTTCTTCAATGAAGTGCGAAAATGTAGATCACAGATGAAGACCGTGAGAAGAGCCGATTCTGAGACGGCTGTATATGATATTGTGGTCATGTTGGAAGAAATAACCGCTGTAACGGTAAGAAAATTATTAGACATTTCTCCTTCTTTACCGACAATAAACTAATTGCTGTCATTTTAGCTCTAGTGTACGAAGCGTTCTTATTTACTTATTTTAAAGCATTTAATTTAAGTAATATTTTAATTCTTTTAAACATTGGTATAATGGTTTTTAATTCGATATTCAATTTACATAATATTTTAATCCAATTAAACGTTGGCGCAATGTTTTTATAGTGGTATTTTTATTCTATTTCTATGCTACATGAAAGTAATAATTTAACCTTTCTTTAGTATTTTATACTCGTAGTAAATGTATTTATTCTATATAATGTATATATATATATTATATTATATATAACGTATTTAAATTTAATAATATTCTAATTCTTTTAAATGTTGGATGATGTTTTTTATTTCGATATTCAATTTCAGTAATATTTTAATCTAATTAAACGTTGGCACAATGTTTTTATAGCAGTGTTTTATTCTCTTCTTTGCTATATGAAAGTAATAATAACCTTACTTTAGTATTTTATACTCATAGTAAATGTATTTATTTACACTTGCCTGCCATCTTAAAAAACGACATTTTCAACAAAAAAATTAATCCATTATTTCTAACGACATTTATTTTTTTTAAAGTTTCGAATACTTTACTATGCGTAAAAACAGCGTTTTTCAAGATGGCTGACGTTTGTAGAAATCGCGCCAAAAATTGCGCCAACGTAAATCGCCAAAACTCCGTGCAACCGTCTACCAAAGTAGCACCAAATAAAACATCGGCCATTGGCTCTGTTCTTGGTTTTATGGAAAATCAGCTGATGTTTTTTTTTTTCTTCAAGAATATGAATTTAGCATGCTGAGCAAAAGTACAAATATAGCTACCAGTTTATTCAGAGGTAAAGCAATATGTGGAGAAGCAAGTAAAAAACTGCATGGGGAAAAAATCTTTGTGTCGATAATTTGTTTTGCGGTTTTTACATTTCATACACTCTTAGGTTGAAGAACTAGCTATTATGAGATTATGAAATAGTTAAATATATCTGCACTGTTTGATTCTATAATAGCAGCAGCTGCCGAATTATAGTTTTCACAAAGATAAGTAAATATTTTCCTCGTATATTATTTTTCCATTTTTTGAAGATTGCCATAGTGTTTTTCTGTTTATTGCAAAATTAGTGTTAAATATTGCCAGATTTTGCAAATGTGCTTGCAGTGACCACTTTTAACAAGAGGAGTTTGCAACTATTTAATAATTTTAGAATTTTTGCATGTCATCTTATTAAATATAAACTGATGATCTAAAATCAGAAAATATCCAAAATCCAGAATTGCCAAAGTTCCAGCATTCTGGATCTCAAAGTTTATAATTATTACTTTTATATTTCACATTTCTTATACAAATTTTTTTAAGCCTCAAAAATCTAAAACTATATCTTTATCGAAAAATGTATTATTAATCAATTTTAAATTCTTTATATATATAATTTTAGCATTTGTTGTAGTACTGTTCAATTTGCAAAAAGTGTTTATAAAAATCATTTAGAATAAATGCAATGTTATTGAAATAATTTATTTTATTGTTTCACTATGCAATTTGTAGTTCTGAATAATGGATAAAGAAAATATATGCATGTAAACATGCATTAAATTGGTAATTATATCTTAAGCATCTCTGATTTACATCACAATTATTGATTTTGTTCTGAAGTTCCAACTTCTCGCACTATTTGAAAAATCGGCTAATATTCCATTAGCAAGGTAAGTTGCCACCTATTTTGGCCTTCAAAATTTGGCGAATGTTTTTGGCAGCAATGAAAGTACTAAGATGTGATTTTTAAACATAAACAGAATAGTAACTTTTAAGTTTTACAGTAGTGTAACACAGTTATTTTATGTAAACAGAATAGTAAAATGAGTTGATAAAATACTAGATGAGTAAAACAAAGTCCAACAGCTTTGCAAGTAAAAATATAGTCCTATCTATGTAATTCATCATAAAATAGTTGAATGAAAAATTCTTGTAAATAGTTATTGAGTAAATAAATATATACACTTATCAGATCAGAGTACTGCGAAGTGAGTTTTAAACATAAGCAGAATAGCAAATTTTTGTTTATAGTGGTAAACAGTGATTATTATGTGCAAACAGAATAATTAATAAAATTGATTAAATGATAAAACAACATCCTGGAATTCAACACACTAAACAACCTTCGTTTAAAACTTTAAATATTCCACACCTTTCTTTTGCCACATGCAAGAAACAAAACTTAAATAAATAAATAAATAAAATAAAATAAAAATGTAAACGTTCATAATTTCATGTCATCTGCAATCCAACATTCTCCCACCAACAACAGCTTCTGCAAATATTTATATAAATATAATATTAAACATGTATATATAATAATAATATTAAACAGTAAAACTTTAAAAAACAAACACAGTATTTCAAAATTAAATTTAAAAAAAAAAAAAATCTTCTGGCTACACTAAATTTGTACTCTTACAATTACCGAAATAAAGCTCTAGATTTGTCACAAGAAAACACGCAGCCGGAAACCACAACCAAATCAAAATCGCGCCAAATAAAAAAACTCGTGAAGTTTGGCGCTCCCCCCAATTATGGAATATTAACCAAAAAATCCTTCATAGCATACTAATGCAAAGTAATGTTATGATTCTTGTTGAAAGCTAAAAATCTAGAATTCCTCACGAGACTTAAAATTTTTAAACTTTTTATTATATTCTCATAATTTTCTGTTATTTATGTTGCATTAAACACTGTTAGCATTTAATTTCTTTGTGTGTTTGTTTACCAGATAGTTAATACAAATTAGAGGTTAGTCAGGTTTTTGTATTCATTATAATTTTTTTTATTAAGGTAGATTTCTCCACATTCTGAACAATATAATTTACTTATATTAATTAAAGTTTTATAATTAAAAGGAATATTAATGTAAATTGTACATATGTATAAACCAGCATATCAAATATCTGTTATTACTAAATTTTTATGAATGGATGATTGATCTTAATTTTTAGTAAATGTCTTGTAAAAAAATTTAATTTTATAGATAGGAACAAAAAGTATTTAGAGTTGGAAAAGTTTCTCTTGGACGCTGCATTTTTATGTGAAATATTTCATCACATGCAGATTGAAGGATGCTGTTTAAAAGTTCTAGCTCATCCCATTATTGATTACTTTGGAATGTTAGTTGATGGTGCTTCATTTAAAGAAACTGAGCTTTTCGTTGAGCATGTGAGTATAGCATATTAATATCAATATATTTTACTAATATCAATAATATTAGTAAAATAGATAATTAAAAAATGATGTTAAAGAAGGATTAGCATCATATTCGGTGCTTGGTGGTTTTATAAGCGACTAGAGTACCAAGAAAAAAATGTGACCAAATTTTGATGCAATACCCCCTTCCCCCCCAAAAAAAGTGTTTTTACAATAAATAAAAGAATTTTAATGGAAATTAAAAATGAAAGATATCACTTTAATTTATATCTGAAAATGCAAATTCCTACTTGAAAAGAAGTTGGAATTTATTTTTCAGGTGGCCATGAATTGACAATAAAGGCTAATATGGCATCAAATGTATTATCATGGCCTTTACATTACCATCACTTGCAATAACTCCATTATCACTTTGATGGTAAATTGAAAATTATCATCATTTTGAGTTGGGGGGAAAAAAAAACACAGTTTTCATTACTAGGTTTTTTTGCTATAGTTTTGAGTTTATTATATCTTTCGGTGATAAATGCTGCTGAACTTCATGATTGATCAGTGGTCATCTTTAAAATAAACAAGTGCCTAGATTCTTTTTGAATTACACTATGATTATTATAATGTTTTTATTATTATTATTATTATTATTATTATTATTATTACACTATGCTTATTTTTATGTTTTTTTCGAATTACGATACTGTCTGATTATCCACATCCTCGGCTTCAACTTTCAGTAGATTTGCAGATTTTTTTTTGGTGCATATTTGAGCATACACATGGCAATAAATAACCCACATATGTATTTGAAGATACACATACATATACATGTGTTTGTGTACCACATGCGTATTTGAGGATTTAAATTTACAGTTTTATATTTAACAGTCATTTCCTTAATATCTTCTGACTGTAAAAATGTAAACATTGTATAGCTAATGAAAGCTGCATATTTTCTCAAAATGTGCTTGTTAACGGACATTTTTCATTATTTGCAAAGCTTTCAATTATTTTTCATTATTATTATATATTTTTTCATTCACATTATCTTTATACTTTACTTTTAAAAAGAAAACATTGCACTTCTATAAAAATGTTCAACTTTACGATCACATTCTCTAAATAATAGCCATATTTTCACGTGGTTCTCTTGCATGGCTTGCTAATCATCACATGTCAAATATATCTCATCAATTTCCAGTCTGACAAATATTTTATTCTTCACACATAGTTGAATCGAAAGATCATTAAGTTTTTAACTGAAATTATGATTTTATTTTGATCATCCTTTTTTTAATTAATTACTGCAAAGTACACAAGGGCTCTTGCTGAGAAGTATTCCATCTTGAATGAAAGCCACGCAAAACCTTCTGCAATTTTTCAACACAAGCAAAATTTAAATATTCAAAGCTTAACTATGATTAAGTATGATGGTAAAAGGGATTATGGGTATTTTTAGCATTGTTTCTTGAGTGAGTTGGAAAAATTCTTGATGGTAGAGAACAGCCTGTACATAACTTTGAAATACAAGATATATTTATTTTGTGTATCAAGTGTGAATTTTATACACATGCCTACATAATTTTGAAATGGAAGATATATTTATTTTATGTATCGTATGCAAATTTTATACACATGCCTAAGAAAAGGGATGCCTTTGTGGAGGATTTTTCTAATGAAAACTGGCTCTTATACACACTACATATGGGAAAAACATCCATGCAGCCAGCCCGTTCACTGAGATTCAAACCCCAAACCGAACTACCGGTGTTCAGTGTCTTTACTGCTTGACTGCTGATAAGCTTGTAAGTCATCCTAAAAATTGCTAAAGTCAAGTAATTTATAATGCTGCCAATTTTTTTCCTTGTTCTGTTGAAAAGAAATGTTTTAAAATGATCAAAACCAGATGTAAATTGCATTAAACTTTTAGTCTTCTAATTATTTTGCAAGATAAAACGAACATGAATTCTTTATTTATATTTCAAATCAAATATATGTCTAGCTTGTTTAACAACAATGTATGTATTTCTTAATAATTCATACAATTTATAAGGTACCTAACTGAAAATTTTCTAAGCATTGTCCATTGTAATTAAAATATTCCTATCCGACATATAATCCTAGTATAGAATAATCGTTATTGTATCACTGAAAAGGTTTTTGTGTTAGTTCTTTGTTAAGAATATTTTGATTCGTGTACTTTCATTCACTGAAAAGGTTTTTATGTTAGTTTTTTATGACGAATATCTTGATTCATGTACTTTCATTCATTCTTTGTTAAGAATATCTTGATTTCCATTTTAAATTTTGATCATAAAAACACATAAAATATCATTTCTGAAGGGATTATTTTTACCTCTTTTTCCAGTACTTCTTGATTAAACATTACTGATTTTTAGTTCCTGCTTCAGATACCTGTATAAGAAATATTCATATTGTGCGTATTCGAATGCTAAGGCATTATGAATTGAAATTTTTTATATAAAGAATTCTAGCACATATTTAGGAGTGTGTGAAGGTGCGGAATCTTGATGGAGAAACTGCATTATCATTTGGGTACATTTCTGAGATCATGCTTCAGAAAAACTTTAAAATTTTCTGATAAAGTGTTCTGAACTGATTTTACCTTCTGAACGAAATGATGTTTATTTACTCCATTTGGAGAAATACATATCCTGACCATATTCCAATAGGATGCAAAGTTGATGAAAAAGTCTTACCTTCTTTGATTATGATTACTGAATACATTGATTGAATGCTGAATACAAAGAACTCTCAATTTTCAGCCCAAAGGGCATTAGCCTAGAAGGGCTGTTAATTTTGTTTTGGCATTTTACATTGGTACATGATATATGTCGGTTCACTTTTCAAACTGTTGCCACCAAATATTACAGCCCTGTATTATATTTAAAGAAATTAAATAATGAAGAATCTGCAGAAATGTATGAATGTTTCTCGTATTATGATAAAACAACGGCACCTAGAGCCACCAAATTTTGAATAACGTACATTTCCATCAGAATCTGGGCATCTGGAAGCCCAAATTTGGAATCTTTAATTTGTTTTATTATCTATTTTATATCTTTTAAAACTTTACCGAATTTTTGATTAATAAACTCAATGATTTCGAAGCAAGCGATGGTGACGTTGTACAGGAAAAAAAAAAAAAAATTATCTCCAGCGCACAATGCTTAATTTAAAATTATTTTGTGATCTTGCTATTGAACTGAATTTTATGATTTAAGTGCGAAGGACATGATATTTAATAAATAAAGGTAATGCACTAAACGTAAGAAAGAAAGAAAAATAAAGTCCCTTTGGGCGTAATGTGAAATCTGAAAGCTTTCAGAATGGAACTACTCTGATATGCGTCCTCAAGTCGCCAAATTTCTCGCCAAACCTCCATGCTGCCATATTACTATCTAAATGTTTTGTCTACATTTCGAACTTTCAGCTTAAAATGTCACCAAAAACGCGGTTTTCGCACATGCGGAAAAAAAAAAAAAAAAAAACATGTTTTGAACACAATTTAAGCTAAAAATCCGAAACAAAAACAAAAAATTTAGATAGCAAAATTGTAAAGTTTCTAACCAAAAATATTTGACGGAATTCATGTACAGAGTAATATGTTTTAACTTTAAAAAAAATCTACGAATGGCACAATGTAGGCAACGAATGAATATATGAACTACGCACACCTCGCTTTTAATAAATTAACACAACAACAATAAATTTCAAAGAATATACCATGTACACAGCATCTTGCTTAAAATCTACAAATTGCATAATCTAGGTAATAAACGAATCTACGAACTACGCACACCTTGCTATAATAAATTAACATAACAACAATAAATTTCAAAGAATAACGTACACAGCGTTCAGTTTCAACTTTAAAAACATCTACGAATTGCACAATCTAGACGCTACACTAATCAATAAAATAAACTAAAATAAATTTCAAACAATTCAAAATCAACAATAATGACAGAAATTCATACTAAGAAAACAATGAACATAACATTCTACAAAATAAGAACAAGAGTAAAATAAAATGCATTTACCATGAATTAATGCTTTTTCGACCAGCAGAAATACAAATTTCATACCGCCAGATGATCACTGTCATATTTATATCACAACCAGACATACTATCCAGAAAATTCATACTATGGTTCACAAATAAATAAAATCACAAATCCCTACTTCTATCATGTACAGCCACTAAAAATAATCTCCCAGACCCTCTTTCCACACCTCCAAATACCGACTGCCCCTCAACAGGATGATCACGATGATATTTCCTTTGCTGAACTTCATTTTATCTTCTCAGATGCAGAGCATGATGTGAACCAATGAGCTCCAGTGAAAGATTTTTCAATGTCAACAGGGTTGCCATACAACACGCAATTGCGCCAAAATCCAGCGCAGAACACATATTGCCACATTTGGTGAAATTAGGGTGTATATCAGAGTTGTATCTTCAGATTTTATTTATTTTATTAAATTTTTTGTCTTAAATTAATGTAGATCTAAATTTTATGTTATAAAATGTATGTGAGTTTTTTTTTTCATTTTTAAAGAAGCCGGTGGTCATATATGAGGCACACCCAGAAAGTACGTTTTCTGCTTTAAAGTAAATGTAGCCGTATCATTTGTACAGACAAATAACAGATATATGACGTATCAATCATATGCCAGCCGGACAGGTCCCGCCTTATGCCAGTAGCGTGGTAGCAGTTGTCCGAAATGGAAGCGCTTATTCCTTGTCCCGCCGCCTGCGAGGTTCGGTTGGTGATGAAGTTCTTGAATTCACAAGCATTGTGCCAATTGATATTCATCGTCAGGTCTATGGGTCAAACATCATGAGTAAGCAGATGGTGCGTCGCTGGTGTAGGCAGTTTTCAAAAGGTCATCAAAGTGTCCATGATGAAGAGTGCAGTAGGCGACTGTCCCTTATCAATGATGATCTTGTTGAGCTTGTGCGGGAGAACCGTGGCTTCATAATTACGGAGCTGAGCAGCCATTTTCTACAGGTACCACAATCCTTGTTGCATGAGATTGTCACTAAGCACCTGCTGTTCAAAAAATTGTGTGCCAGGTGGGTGCTGAAAAACCTGACACCTAAACACAAAATTTAACGTTTAGGAGCAGCACTGACATTTCTTGCAACTGTATCACAATGACGGTAACGAATTCCTCACACTTCACCTCAAACCAAGCAGCAGTCAATGCATTTTTGGCATAGTGGATCTACAATCAGGGCGAAATTCAGACAGACGCTGTCAGCATGGAAAGTTATGTGCACAGCGTTCTGGGACAGGAAGGACATTTTGCTCATTGAGTTCCTTCCATGTGGTGAAACAGTGAACACTGACCGTTAATGTGAAATACTGCGGAAATTGCGACTTGCCATTCAAAACAAGAGGCGTGGAATGCTTACTGCAGGTGTTGTGTTTCTCCATGGCAATTCTCGTCCACATACAGCTTGACGCACAGCAGCTGTTTTGACGGAATTTGACTGGAAGTTGTTTGATCGTCCACCCTGCAGCTCTGATCTTGCTTCCAGCGATTTTCACGTTTCCTTGCATCTCAAGAAATTCCTGTCCTCCGGTGAGCGTTTTGGCAATGACGAAGAGCTGAAGATATCTGTCACACACTGATTCCATTCACAGGCACAGGGATACAAAAGTTGATCCCACGATACGACAAATGTCTCATTTCTGGTGGTGGCTATGTTGAAAAATAGCTGAAACGTTGCTGTATTTGTTGCCAATAAATATGTTCCTGAAAGTGCGAGTTCTTTAAAAAAAAAATAGGGAAACTTACTTTCTGGATGCCCTACGTACATCTTTCGCTCGATTTTTCTTTCTGTAAAGCGTTCTTTCTTTCAATGTATGTTTTATTTGATAGCTTATGACTTACATTTAAGACTTTAGCCATATTTAACTTATTTCTAAGTCACTGCAGTATTGGCTTTTAATTTCTTTCTCTGTCCCTCTCTCCCCTGCAGAAGATCTCCATTAGTTTTTTTCCACTCTTGAGCTTAGAATCATGAATTCAACTGATGTGACTCAGTATTTCTGTTTCTTCCTTTTTAAAATGATTTTGAATTATTCTGTGCCTCCTTTTAAGTTTTTTATAGTATTCGAAGTGATCAATTGATTTCTTTTCTAATTTTTCAAAAATATGATTTTAATTTAAAAATAAATAATTGTTTATGGGCAACATATTACCCTGCATTTATTGAAGGCATAACATTCTGCATTTTCAATCAGTGTGCTACATGTAAAATAAAAAAAAGTTAAAATACTGAAGAAGTAAATATCAAAAGTGAGCATGACAATTTTTTGTCACCTGTGTTATATACTTCTCTTATGCATTCGTATTCTCAGATTATGGTGCCACCTATAGAATTCTTATGTTTAAAAAAATATTGGGCTGCCTTTGTTGTAAAAGATTTTCTAATGGCATATATTACATACTTTGGTACAGAATAAATATTTACATATCACTTGAGAATTTTTTAAAGATTTTTGAAGAGTACGATAAATGTGAAAATTATTGATATCTACAATAATATTACTTGTCTCATTTTCTTTTTCTCCATGAACCATCAGCAGTCGAATGGTCACTGAATACTGCTAGTTCTGACATTGGTTCGATTCCAGGCAAATGGGATAGTTGCATGTGCGTTTTTGTGGGTTTTTCCCTTGTGTAATGTGTATATGAACTAGTTTCCCTTAGAAAGTTCTCCACTGCCTTAGGCAGATAGTCCTATTGTGCTTGCAATAATCTCAATAAACCAAATCAAGCATTTTTACTATGTAATCACAAGTTATTATTATTATTATTATTATTATTATTATTATTATTATTAGTTTCCAAAGTGCTTTAAGAATCTCAAAGAGAATGATCCAAGTGGACTTGATGTATTGATGACTAGAATAAGAAAGCAAATTGTTTGTGAAACTTCAACTGTTACAGTTAAAGCCATGTTACTGGAAATATTTGAACTTGTATTAACAGATTGGAAACCTATGAATCAAAGTGCTAAGGTCTTATATGAATCTCTTTCAAAGCCAATTGTAAGGATCTGTGATTAAATCTGAGATTTATCATTTGTAAGAAGCATTTTTTTTTTTTTTTTTGGGGGGTACTATTCGGTTTCAAGGGTCGTAAAAAAATTGCAGCGAAAATGTATGCGTGAAAGCGCCAAATCTAGCAAACACGCCCATTTAACAGGGTGCCAAATCTTGCGTACGTGCTAATTTCAAATTGCGTAAGTTTATATAGTTCTATATTTCTTAAGACGCCATTGAAATGCTAGTTTAATTTGTAATTCCTTTTTTGATATCCTATGGATTTAACAATTTTGGAATTGCCTATGATGAAAAGTCTGCGATAGAATTTTGGGTAAAGTGCAGAATCACCCACTGCTTAACGTGTTTTTATGAATTTCACATCGACTTATTTTCACTTAAAAAAAAAATCCCAGAATTGCACAAAAATGGTACCCTTGACTTCATCTATGTACACATCAACCTATTGTCACTTAAAAAGTAAAAGAAAATTGACAAAATTCCAATTGTTTTTACCCTTGTAAAAAGCGGCAAAGAAATAAGCGGGCGATTCTGCACTTTACCGAAAGTGTTTTCAAAGAAAAGGTATCATTCATTATAGAAAATTATGTTTGAACAACCAACGAGATGACATTATGCTTTAGTGATAACTCAGTAGCGAAATATTATATGAAATTAACCTTTCATCTAAAAAACATCAATATTTAGATAGTTATTTACTATTATACTTCCTTTCTTGCGTTAGGGTTGCCGCAATTACTTTTGGCAGCACTGGCATCAACAATAGTTTGGCGATTTTTTACGGCCCTCAAAACCAAATAGTACAGTTTTTTTTTCCCTTTGTTTAAACTTGTTTCACGCCTCATGTATATATTTTAATGAAGTTTAAAGCTTTACTTTTTTAATAATCTAGAAGATGGTTAATAAATTTTTAAATTATACTTTTTGATGTTCCTTGAATTAGATTTCAGAATACTGATATGTAAAAAATATTAATATTAAACTCTTCAGTACTAAAATATAAAAGTATTTTTTAGTGTGACATTTCATTCTTAAGTCTACGTTAGCTTATGAAAAGTATTTGATCTAATCAAAGTAATCTAATTAATTTTAATGAATTTTTGAATTTTATGTGAGGTAGCTTAAAAACGTTCCTAAAATTCCTTTGTTAAAGTGTTTATACCTTTTGTGACCATATGTTTATTAATGTGTCAGAGAGATTGTAAAGAATTAGAATTTATACGCTAGTTATTGTTAGAGAACTTATTCTTTGATTAGCGTTGATGTCTCCTGTTTCTCAATTTCTGTCAAGTGCTTTCCAAAAAGAAGCTACAAGGTAGTTGAGAGAATATGTAAAATTTTCTACTGTTGCCAAACTGTACTTAACACATTTTAGTACTCTTTATTCAGCTCACTCCTTTTTTTTTTTTTTTTTTACGCTTCCTAAATGTCAGATGATATCAGGGCATCTTTCTCTACTAACCTCTTAATCTTGCAGATTTCTTGGTGACTGTGATTAATTTGAGAATCCACGTGATATTTTTAAGCTGGAGAGATTATTCCTGTTCAAATAACTGAAATTGTGTCTGTTTAATTGTATAGAAAACATTGTTTGTTGTGCTATTGAAATTTTTTTTCTGCATCATACAGAGCAATTAATGTCTCGTGAGATTATCACTTGTATTTCTTTCTAAAGGTCAGATTCAATAAAACATACTGATAAACAATATGCAGATAAGTTAAATGGGTACTTTTCCGTTTCGCCGGCGCAAATCTCGCCAAGCAGTCTTTGTTGCCGACAGCATACATTATACACATAAAAAATTTTAACAAATGTTAGTTCTAAAAAGTTTTTTATTTTGAAGGCATAAACATTTTAATATGGTTTAAAATCTTGTAAAAAGCCAATAAATAAAGACAATAAATTTGTAAAAAGACATGAATTTAAGAATTTACTATGCCTTTCATGGTTCAACATCCTGATTCGCTGGTTTGTATCACGTGATCCCAAGTGATCTCATCATACGTAAAGTATGCCAAAAATGTAATTCTCTCAGTAATTATCTACATTAATTTCAAGTTAAATCTTAATTTGGAGTAAAAGTTTAAATGCGAGAATTATTTCAATTCATACGAATAGCTTACTCAGAAATTATGTAAAACCGCAGTACTTTACTTCGCTATCGTATTCTCATTAGAATTGAGGAATTTAACCCTTGATTTTGCCTTTTCTATATTTTCGCCTTCGGGTGAGCTGTGTGATTGCATCGTAATTGTCGTGATTACCGCAAATGGTCTTATGGCATAAAATTTAACTACGTTGTAAAAATTTTATGTTATTATATGCCAGCATTGAAAGACAATCAGTCTGATAAAAATGGCTGTGACTTGTTTTGAAAATGAGGTGTAAAAGGTTACCAACGAAGATATTCCGTTTGGCATCAGTTGTACCATTATTGGCGACTTTTTAGTTTGTGCCGGCAAAACGGAAAAGTACCGTTAAATGTTGGAACAGCTTCCAACACATATTTAAACTTAAAAGCTATTTATTTGACTGTTTTTCATCTGCTTCTGTAAATAATATTTTGAAAATGCATAATATTTAAATAATTTATGTAGGTTGAAGGCTGCATATTGCATGAGATCATAGTCAGCAAAATCCTATAATGCTAGTCATAAATTTGTTGATTTTTTTTAGTGTCTTTGTCTTAGATGTCTGATTCCAACTTTCTGGGGCTAAAATCTTTTTTAGCAATAACGTGTCCTGCTATATGTATCAAGTTCAAGAAAAATGAAAGTATCGTAGTTTTGGATGTAAATTGTCTTATCGCTAGAAACTTGAAACTCTCGAACGTACTCATGACTAAAGTTATAGAAACTAAATGCTGTTTCATTCAAAAGGAAACTATAGCATTATACCTTTTTTGATATAATTTTAATGAAATGTTTCCAGATTTTGCTAGTATCATATTTCATATTATTTTTGGAGAAGGCAGTAATTTTGGGAACTTTCAAGAAGTTATTTTATTTTATACTTATCAACCCTTAACCCCCACTCAAATATATCAAAGATCAATATGTTTTATTACTGCTATTAAATGCCTTCTAAAAACTAACAGTTGTGAAATATTTCAAATTTATTTTAATAGTTTTGTTGTCTATTTTATTGCATATTTTTATTTCTTTTGATTTTGTTAATATGATAATTGTCTACCAGAATCTGCACAGCTGAATATTTCAGGAAAATATTACTAAATTGTAAAGTTTCTAATGTTAAAAACTTAATTTAAGAAAGCAAGGCAGTGTCTTAAATATGTCGATATTTCATTTAATACTCAAGTTGTGTTTTTAGAAATAAACAAAGACAATATTTTTAATATATCAATACTCCATTTAATATTCTTAAATGAAATAACATTATGGGAGATAATTTTAACATGTAATAAACAGGGCTAGAGAATCATACAAGCAGGAATAAACAAGATGCATATACATAATTCTAATACAGTCAAAAGTCGTTAATTCGGACACCCATAATCCGGAATGATCTATAATCCGGACCTCAAAGCTACAAACTTTCTGCGCATGCGTCGCGTTGACGGCTTTATGGCTGCGAATATGCTTGTGCGCGTGCGCAAAATACGTTTACGAGTGCGCGTTTAATGTATAACGGACGGTATAAGCTAAGCTAAAATTATCTAATTATCTATTTCAGTTAATGTTGCAGATTGCGTTGTTCCTTAATCTTCGAAATGGATCCGGCTTATTATTTTTTGCAGACTGTTAGAGCAATTTTATAAAAGTAAGCTTGAACTTTCGATTATGTCAAATAGAATTTCTGATATATATTTATTAATATGTAAAGGATCTACAAAGCGAAAGTATGTTTCGAAGTTCATTAAACAAAAAGTGGAATTGCTGAAAAAAATGGATAAAGGAGTATCCTTTGTTTATCTTTAATGCCACTGCACGCAATGAATTGGAAGTTGATCTGTCAGCACTATCCTTATCTTCAGGGCAGATGTTTTTATTTTATTTGGCTTATAATTCCTTACTAAATGTAGTATTTCATCTCGATGTACTCGGTCTTTGATATGATTTAAATCAAATTCCTGTCATTATAATTTGCTTCCGATAGCGAAGAAAGTGACAGAGGTTATTGAAAACGAAAAATTTTCGATTGACAAATTAGTCGGTAGACACAGCAATTATAGGACTTTAACAGCGGAACTTTGTAACTGAAGAAGAAATTATGTCTGTTTATAGAATTAAAGAGAAAGTATTATCACATAAAACGAAGCAACTTAAACAACTTACATTGAAGGAAATGCTTAATAAAGTAAACAAATAAATATTAAGCTCTTTTTTTTTTTTTTTTTTTTAAATTTTGATACCCTTTAGGTCATAATTGTTCTTTATTTCATAAATTATGGTTTCATATTTTTAATTTTATAATTTCTGCATGCCTTCTTACCAGATTTAAACTGATGATCTATAATCCGGAACCGCCGAAGTCCCGACGAGTCCGGATTAACGACTTTTGACTACTACATTTTTCACATTTTTTATAGCATATGCTAAAGTAGTTAGAAAGTCTATAAAAAGGAATATTTTATATTTTTTGCAGTCAAATATTTTGAATCCTTGACTTTTTCTTGATGAAATTATTATGGTCATGTTTTGTCTGTCACTTTAATTTCTAATCATAAAATAACTCTTTGTAATAAGGCATCACCTTCATAATACTTCATCATACTTCTGAACCTTCTTTAAAATCTGAGTGATTTCTTGTAAGTTAACTTGCATTAATTTCTGTTATTATTATCAAACATGTACTGAAAAAATTACTGTAAAGTTTTTGTGCTTATTTTTAAAATAACCGTATTTGTATATCAGATGATCGCCCCCCAGCAATTTCTTGAAAATATTTATTTATAAAACTTTTCTTAGACACCTTGAAGATCTCCTCAATTTACACTGCCATGCACATTTATATTTATAATCCTGTTGTATAAAAATGAATGTTGCTATTAAGGAATTTTAAAATTTCAAAACAAAAAACTTAATAGAAGTAATGTATGTAAACAATTGCTTAGTATTTTGCTCAGGTGCTGGTTAAAGCATCATGATAGTAGTTTACCTCAAATTCCACTCCAGATGTCCAAAATGGACTAGGTATATGAGAGTTTGCTCATGTAATGTAAATATCTAATTGTAACAAAAGTTTTCCGCCAGAAAACGTCTAATTTAACAACTATTGTAGTTATAATAGCAATGCTTTGGGGATTATATA